AGAGTCAATGGATGCCTCCGTGAAGAGTGCGCTTGTGCACATGGTCGATTAGAAGTTCGGACACGCGATGCTTCGGCAATACGATGGGGTGTTTTTCGTCGTAGCTCAGAGCTGAGTGCTCGAGCCGCCCGCCAAGCCGAATTAATGAGTCTTTCCCGATGACTGGGTGTAATGAAATGAGCGGGCTAGATTTTGGAAGCGGCATCTTGCTCTTTAGCAATTTAAGTTCGGCGTTAAAGTGATTCTTTTGGACATAGGACATCCAAAAGAGAGAGGCGGCGCGTATTTCGTCGACAGTCAACAACCGTGAATACGGGGATAGCGGAACTAGTTTTTTACGCGTTCTTTGAGTAAATCGTAATATGTACGCTGTAACTCGACGGAGTCGAGTCCAGCTCGAGTATTGAGAAGGAAGGTCCCATTCTACAAGCGGAGACGCGTGGTGAACGTATGATTTGCGAGATTCAGATAACGCGGTCTCTCGCGTGTTTTGTCCGATTGAATTCGAAGGGTTATGGTCCGGCCAAAACACGGACGGACGAGACAACCAGTCCGGTCCGGACCACCACAGCTTATGAGCTGCAAGTTCGGAAGCGCAGATGCCGCGTGACGCGCAATCAGCCGGATTATCTTGAGATCTTACATGTTTCCACGTCATTTGCGGAAGACGAGTCTGAACGTCGGACACGCGATTGGCGACGAAGGTATTCCACGTAGACGGATGTTGTTTTAGCCAAGCCAGAACTACCGTAGAATCGGTCCATCCGTAGACGCGGGGGGATTGAAACTTTAAGGAGGACAAAGTCCACTCGAGCAGGCGCGTTAACAATACGACCGCGTTTAATTCCAAGCGCGGAATGCTTATGGTTTTGAGCGGAGCTACTTTACTTTTTGCCGTCAGTAATGCAACTTGAGCTTCGGATAGAGAGTGAAGGACTCTTAAATAAACCACGGCAGCATAGGCTCGATGTGACGCATCGGCAAATCCGTGTAATTCTATCGCGACATTATTGTTTCGCACGCCGGTCCAGCGAGGTATTCTCACTTCCCTTAATTGTGATAAATGTTCGCAATACTCGTGCCATTTTTTACAAAGGTCGGCAGGAATTTCGTCGTCCCAATCTTTATTTAGGAGCCAAAGCTCTTGTAGCATTAATTTTGCCACAATAATCACGGGGGAGGCCCATCCTAATGGATCGAATATCTTTGAAACGATCGAGAGTATATTTCTTTTAGTACCTTTCGCGGGTAAACAAAAGTCGATGCGAAATCGGAAAGTATCTTCGGAAGGGTTCCATGTGACACCGAGAACTTTCTGAGACTCGTCCTCACCGAGCGGATGATCGGAAGTTGATTCACGGTCGGAAGGAGGAATGTTTTCTAACAGTTCAGCCGCGTTGGCGGCCCACTTGCGAAGTTGAAAACCCCCTCGACTCAGGAGTTCGATTAATTGTCTACGAATTTCGCGGAGAGTATGAATATCGTCCGCACCAAAAATAGCGTCATCGACATAAATTGAATCTTGCACAACAGGAGTAGCGGCGGGAAGGTTGGAGCCTTCGTCGAGAGCTAATTGATCTAAGACTTTAATAGCAAGATATGGCGCGGAAGCGAGACCGTACGTCACGGTAAGTAATCGGTACGAAAGAATAGGCTGGTCTCTGCACGGTCGCCATAATATCCTCTGATAGTCGGCATCCGCTGGATTGATTAGGATTTGTCTGAACATCTTTGCGATGTCGGCAGTGTATACGTAACGAAATAACCGCCAGCGTAGAATAATAGCTGCTAAATCTCGCTGCAGTTTTGGACCTATCAGGAGGTAGTCGTTTAACGACTGTCCGGAATTAGCTTTAGCGGACGCGTTGAATACGACTCTAAGCTTAGTTGTGCTACTGGACGGTCGCACTACAGGGTGATGAGGAATGTAGTATATTGATGAGATGTTCGAGGCTTGTTCTTCAATTTGTTCCATGTGACCCATGGAAAGGTATTCCGATAAAAAATCGTGATACTGAGACTCGAGATCCGGTTGTTTGAGCAACCGCTGCTCCAATTTGGCGTAAAAACGGGAAGCAACTTCCCGCGATCCTTCGAGATCGAATGGAGGTGTACTCTTAAATGGGAGCCGTACGATATATCGTCCTTGAGGTGATCGAGTATGAGTATCGTGAAAGAAACGCTCACATTTTTCGTCTTCTTCGGAAAGCGAGGGTCTTGAAGGGACTTCCTCGAGTTCCCAAAAACGACGCAAAGAATAATCTAACTCTTCTGCAGATACGCAATTGACAAGAGAGGGAGATTCCTGACGGGAGTCACGTGGCCCAGTTGGTCCGGAAATAATCCATCCTAGGGCAGTGAGCTGAGCAGTGGGAGTACCGACTGGACCTTGGCGAAGGTCGTTCAGTAAAAGCGATCCGTATAGATCAGCACCGATTAAGACGTGAATCGGGTGGCCACTTAACGGGTTGGGATCTGCTAACGGCAAATCGCGTAGATGCGGCCAAGATTGTAAGTCAAGGCGCGCTCTTGAGCCAGCGTAAGAAGTTATGCGTTGATAAACGTGCGCGGACAGCGGAAAGGATATTTTAGAATTATGGCAAGATTCTAACTGTACGAGTACGCGTGATTTTGCTACTCCACTATATTGTTCCCCGAAGCATTGAATCTGAAGCCTCGCCCGATGTCTTTTCGTACGCATTAACTGACAGACCGACTCGGAAATGAAGCTAAAGGAAGATCCTTGATCTAGCAACGCGCGGAGTTTGAAGGCACGACCTTCAGCGGTACGGAGTACTATCCACGCGGTAGCCAATAGCGTATTCGGAGAGGTGAATTTGGACGAGGAGACGGTCTGCACTGACGCCGGAAACTCTTTGTTTGTAGCGTCGGATGCATTGGCTTTGTCGACGGAATCATTTACCGATACGTTGCTAGTCGTCTTGTTGAGAGAGGTAGCGACTCGATGCAAAAGCGAGTGATGAGTTCGCTTACACAGAAAGCATCGGTTCGTACTTTTGCATTCGGAAGTAAGGTGACCGAAACGTAAGCAATTAAAACAAAGTCTATTTTGCTTTACAAATGAAACTCGCTGATCCAGGGACTTAGCTTTAAATCGTTCGCATTTAAAGAGCATATGATCACCGGAACAGTCAACACATTTAACAACCGAGACGTTATTGACGCTTGATCGATTCCTAGAAGCGTCGAAAACGACTTTGTTTTTGTACGACGGGCTGTCGCTGGCGGCGAGATAGTCGGTGAGACCGCGTATGCGAAGAGTCATGAACTCGTTAATTTCCTTATATGTGGGATATTTCTTAGAACTGCCACGATGCAAATTCCATTCGTCGCGGGTGCGTTTCGAAAATTTTTGCGCAATCAAATATACTAAAAGATCGTCCCACGAATCGACGGCGCGGTTAAGGTTTTTTAACGCGGTAAGGGAGGAAGTGACTGTATCTCGCAAACGCTTGAGCTCTGTCGCAAGCTCGGTCTTCATCGACGGCAAACTAATAAATTTATGAATGTGCGAATTAATGAGAGCGGTCTCATCTTCGTATTCGTCGACGAGCAATTTCCACGCAGCTTCGTAACTTTCGTCGGACATGTTTATATTATCTATTAAGAGTGCCGCGTCACCGGTTACATTAGTTTTCAAATAATGTAGTTTTTGAATGTTCGTGAGCGACTTGTTTGAGTCGACGAGCGATTCGAATAAACCACGGAAGTTTCCCCATTGATTGAAGTCTCCGGAAAACTTCGGAAGCGAAAGGCGCGGTAATTGCGATGATGCGGAGGCAACAGAATCGTGACAAATAGAAACGTTACTTTGATCAGACTGGGTTTTACTACCGACGTCCAGCTGGGCGATGGCGTCGCTGAGGAAGTCCGAAGCGTCGAAGTAGGCGTCCTCCGCGTCGAGAAAAGTGTTGTCCTTGAAGTAGGAGATGCCCTTATGGTCCTCCGCTTTGGTGGACTGGAGTATCAACTGGTGGGTTGCACGGCATTCGTCCCATAGTTTCTCCAAATTCTCCTTTCGATTTTTGGCTCTGGCCAACGAAACTTGAGCCTTCGGGAGTTTCTTATAATTCACGATCACTCGTCGTATCGCGGCAATCGTGGTGACTTGCTGTATAAAAAGGCCTTCTGCTCTTTCGGCCATGATTATAGTTCGAAATGAGCGCGAGTCGAGTAATTAGCCTCAAAGAATCAAACAATGTTCAGCGATGACCTCGCTAGAATCACACACGCGGGTAGGCGTGGAGAGGATAAAGTCACACTTTTGAAACTTGAGTTTTAACGAAACAGCGCGAAGGGAGCGGATTGTAACGGTCCTAACAGGTCTCCGTCCAACTGTAGAGCGGGGAGCGAGTCAAGAAGGTCACGGCAGAAACCAATAGTCTTAATTTTAATATGGCTCACACCGAACTCCGTACGCGAGCACAACCGAACTTTTGCAGACACAGTCACAGCGGTTATCCGGCTCGAAGGACCACTTTGTTTCGTCTCGGCCTATGTTTAGCACACCGATTCGATGGAAGGATAAAAAACTGGCCCACTGAACTGAGGATAGTTCGGATATCAATTTTATGTAACGTACTTTATTTTTTCTCCCTTCGCTTCCTCTTCGGGAGGAGCCTGACGAGCTCCCGGTTTATGAAATTGTTTGGTGTGAATCGACTCGCACTTCCAGACAGACTGTGAGCGAGGCGAGCAGTTAAAATTTCGTATTCGCCGGCCGGGTAAGAAAAACAATCCGGCGAGACTCAGGCGTGGTCGCGGAACGACACTAATGTCAAACCGTGTTGACAAACTGCCAGCGGTTACACCAAGACTTTGAATATGTGATTTGAACACTATATTTATACATATTTCAGGTTAAAATATTTGTAAAATGCTATCAGAACATTTATAAATAAATATAAAGCATTGTTATATAGTTAGAATTTGAAAAAAAAATAATGAAGAAAAAAAAATACTAAGTCCAGAAGAGAGACTCGAACCTACGGTAAAAAAACTTCCAGCGGTTCAGCAGTCGGACACTCTAACGTTGCGCTATCGACGCCGTTGAAAATATCGTTGATTTTCTAGGATATATTGCGCTTAACGGTTGGCTTTATTTTATTTGTTTCAATTGTTATGTAATTCTGCTTAGTGTAGAAACATTAAACAGTCTACAAAACACTTATATATTGAAGGATGCATAAAAATTCAACGTGTAAGTTACTCTAATACGCAGAAAACGAGGAAAAACTCGGTTTTTATTTTTTTTCACTGCGGCGCACCGAAATGAAAAATCTGAAAAAAATTGAGAGTAATAGTAATAGTAATACCTGTTTACTGTAAAAGTATAAAAGTAGTTCCGGGCCTCCTTCAATATGTAATCGGCATTTTTCGGCATTTTTTACTGTTTTTTATTTTTCACTACCTGGTTCTTCAATCAAAAAATCTGAAAATCTCCCAAAGTATGTGCCCCGGTACCCGAAATGTCTCTGAATTTTTTTACATTTTTTTACTCAATAGGTCAAGAGAAATAATTCAAAAACATGATTTTCATTTTCACCCCATTACTACCCCCACGGTCGAGATTTCAAGTTAAAAATTTGCACACAGGGGTTATTTTTTTTTGCTATCGAATGACCCGTGGCTCGTTCCATTCGGTTTGGGGGCACATTTGACCCCCTTATTCGGCTATACCCTTTGAACGAAATGTAAATTCTGATGTATTAGAATGTTGTGTGGATGCCGATTGGGCAGGAGATATTACTGATAGAAAATCTACGACAGGATATGTTATAAGAATGTATGGTAATACTATATTCTGGAAATCAAAAAAACAAAATATTGTAACGAAGTCGTCAACAGAAGCAGAATGTGTAGCGTTGTCTGTATGTGTGAGTGAGATCAAATTAATTAGAGATTTATTGAGAGAATTTAGAATTGAATTTAAAGATCCGATCCGAATCTATGAGGATAATGTTGGTGCAATAAGTATAAGTAGATATGGAAACTTAACGAAAAACTCTAAGTATATAGAAACGCACTATCATTTTGTTAACGAGAATTACGTGAAAGGAGTAATTGATGTAATTAAAATAGAGTCAGAAGAAAATCCAGCAGATATCTTTACGAAGTCGTTAGGACGAATTAAATTCGAAAAATTTAGAAAGAGTCTAAAGTTGTGTTAAAATATAAGAAATTTAAGTCGAAAATTGTGAACTGTAGGAAAGCTAAATTTAAGGAGGCGTGATGAAATAAGAGTAAATTTAGCTTGTGTGTGTATCGTCATCGTGTGAGATGCCGCGCGAACGACGCGCGAAATAATCGATAAAAAAATGGACGGTTGAAATCGACGATGGGTTTTTGTTACGGGAGCACGCCGTACGGTAGTTCTATTCTGTAAGCCAGTGGTCTATGTTCGGTGGTATTATAAAGGAAAGAAATGTCCTATGTTAAATAAATAAAACAACAATCGGGAGACGACAATGGATCATTATTTCAACAGAAACATTAACACATAAACCAAAAATCCAACCGAAAGGGAACACATCGCATAAGAGACATAGAAAACGATTATACACGTCATCGGAAAATTCGCTCGTAACCTCCACACCAGTTCAATCGAAGCGGAAACAACCGAATGTCATGTCAAACGATTCCCCGGTTCCGCCTACACTAATAAATACATTTCCCGATATACAATCGATCACAACCAAATCTGAAGACGTTTACGAAACTTCTGCCGATGAGTCATTTGCAACATCTATTAGGCATGAACTCCAAACATCCGAGGGGCAACAAACATTTCGCAATCATTTCGGTCCGTTGGGGCAAAAATACATGCGTGCCATCCTAAGTGGTGATAGGGATACGATCATGGATCATGTGTATGGAGTATACTTTGACAATAGTGGAACGATGCTTGGGGACAAGGCTTTCGATATGGACAAGGATGATAATATAATCATAGATGGTGTAAAATATGGAGGAACTCCCGGTCTTTATGAACTTATTTTCAAGAGAATTCCCGACGACGCCATATACACAGATGCTGATAGGCAAAAATACAAAAGTATACTACTGACAACAAATGCTCACAGACGTGGCCATAACGCACAAAATCCTATAATGGGTAACAAGGGATACAAGTATAAACATGTAATTGCGCCGCTACTACCCCGTGTATCTATCAGTAAGGCAGGGAAAGGCCTGCCGGTTCCGCATGTCATGACGGTAAATGATAACAAGATCGATTACGTGCACTGGGACGATCCCAACGAGCTGGTGGATCGACTCCGTTTGTTGGAAGCGTCGCGTCAGGCGGGTAACAACTCGCATGGCCATGAAATTCTATCGATTATCGAGGAACTCCGCGAGGTAGGCCTCATTATAAATTAAACCGCGCACCGATGATGTGCACTGTATGCGTTGAGATGCCGATCAATAAATTTGGAGTATCGCTCGAGAAGAGCGGAGCAGCTGGAATGGACTATTACAAATGGAGCGGTTTGCTTCGAAATTATATGCGAGACAATGCTCTTTGCGTGGCAGGTGCCGACTTTGATGCAAAATCACGCAAAATACGACGCGTAGTTCAGCCGACAGTTGACAGCGATGCCGTTAATAAACTATATGTGGAAAAGAGCATTAAACTTTTGAGAGAGCAGCATGAAGAATTAGAGAGGAAGCTGGTCATGTTTCAGAGAGATATGTTGACGTTGCAAAACAGCGTTCAAGAGATATCACGCGCATTGAATCCGCAGCGACAATGCGAAGGAAAATCATGCGAGACGGTTGAACTTGACCAGAATTTCCTCGAGCCGATGGGGAGCACATAATGTATGTACACGATAATTATCGCATCATTCGTGTCAAAGACATCTCTGCGATCAAACATGCAACCAATATCGAAATCCGAGAGTAATGAAAGCCATAGTCTCAAGAAGCGACAACTTGTTGAGGAATTGCATGCTCCAGCTCGAAGACATTTCCCGCGGAGACACGTCATAGTGCATGGATACGATGATCTGTGGCAAGCTGACGTTGTAGAAATGCGTCCATACTCGCGATTCAACCGAGGTCATCACTATATACTCACGGTCATCGATGTGCTGAGCAAGTATGCATGGGCGGTACCGCTCAAGACTAAAGGTGGTGCTGAGGTGACTAAAGCGTTTGCAAAGATATTTAGAGATCGACATCCGAAAAATTTGCAAACCGATCAAGGAAAAGAATTTTACAACGTTGATGTGCAGAAACTCATGACAAAGCATGGCATTAATCATTATTCGACGTATTCGGTGATGAAGGCCTCCGTCGTAGAACGTTTCAATCGAACTTTGAAGAACAATATGTGGAAACTGTTTACGCTCAATGGAACCTATAAATGGGCTGATGCACTACCGCGTCTACTTGCAGAGTATAACGCACGAAAACATAGAACCATCGGAATGCGTCCTTGCGATGTTACCCCTGCGATCGCCGATAAGCTGCTAGCTACAGTATACAGCAACATAAAGATCGCTGCTCCAGCGAGATTCAAATTGGGCGAGTTTGTGCGCGTGAGCAAATTTAAAACCATCTTCGATAAAGGCTATACACCGAATTGGACAACGGAGGTGTTTAAAATAGCCAAAGTACAGGCAACTAATCCCGCGACGTATCTGCTCCTCGATTCCTTTGGAAAACCTGTTGCCGGAGGATTCTACGAACATGAGCTGCAACGCGTCACAGATCCTGATGTGCATCTAGTGGAAAAAGTGTTGCGTAGAAAGGGGGATAAGGTGTATGTCAAGTGGTTGGGCTTTGATAAATCACACAATTCTTGGATAAATAAAAATAATGTATTGTAAAATAATACATGGTTCAATAAAATACAATGATGCATATACATATACATGAGTGGCGACTTTTATTTTACACATTAATCCCACTATTTATATGAATGAGTTAATAAATACTAATTTCTATACATTTGCGGACAATTTGTAAACAATTTTATATTATACAATAAATTCCACTATTTATAATAAATACAATAATAATAATTTCTATTTTACAACGGTATATTATAATGTCCCCAGGGCAGAGTGTCGGTCGAATCGGGTACGATATATCGCTTGTCGTCATACGGACTTAGAGCGATTTTGGATTCCGAAATGGTGTACACTTTGTGCAATTTAGACCGTATGCATGATTGTCTGCGAACCATTTCGATCTCTTTGCGCAAACACTGCGCGTAGTCGACGAAAGTTATCGTTCTGGCTATGACGTTGGTCTTGACGCCTTTCGCCTTCTTCGTATCTTTTTTGCCGTCTACGCGAAGTGCATACATTTTCGCTCTAAGACCTATGAATTCAGTCATTATCGCACCGTTATTTTCATCCTTCATCAGCCCCGGAACCTTCTTATTTACGCGTGGCATATTATATGGATTGTCGGTAGGATAATCGCTTGTGTCGAATCTATCGATATTGTGCTTCATAGACTCGTAGATATCGTCGCACCGAATGTGATAAATAAGACTGTCAGTGTCGGTGTATAGAATTTTACAATTTTGCCCGTGTTTAGGAGACATGTACTCGTGGTGAAATTCATACAAACAAAGTTTTGATATGTCCAGAATGCACATACCCACGTATATCGGTTTGTTGAATTTCACCTCGAGTTTTCGCAATTCAACAGCTACTAAATTTTCCGAAAAAACACTTCTGCTGTGGAAATTCGGTTTCGCGATCATTGCCTCCGCGCCATATCGCCCTTCCCAATGTGTCACAAGTTTTACATCCACATGGTTTCGTACATTTTCCATAGTTTTACCGAATACTGCGTTGTTCATCAATTTGTACAAATTCTTTGGCAGAGATACCAAATCGCTGTGCTGGTATAAAAGCACGCTTTAAACTGCACAAGGCCTCAAATAGTTACAACGTGTTGCATTGAAAAAAAAGGATATTACATTTACATTTACATTTACATTTACATTTACATTCCATTTACAATCATGGAACAATTCGCACAAGTAGAACGCCAATTGTTGGATCAATCCGAACGATTGATTTCGCAGGAAGAGTACCTCGCGTGGGAAGAACGGTGCAACGAGTGTATCGAATCTTTGGAAGAACACAGCCGCGTGAAACGCCCGCGATTATCGATCGGTGTTCGACAATCGTTGGTTGCTCGAATCGCGCGACTCGAAGGATTGAAACATTTGGTGCGCAGACGTTTCGCGCGTGAAGGTGCCGGACATTCGAGTACGGGACTTTTGTGGCGTGAAATACACACTGCGTTCGATACTCGCGTATTAACAGGTGTCATCCTAAATTCGAATTATATCGAACCGCGCAACTTCCTCCAGGATGCAGAGACCATTGTGCTGGAGCATGTTCGGGACACTTTGAGGAAACATCGAAACCTCAAAGTGAACACGGTGTTCAACGGCGAATTTGTGGCAGGTGACAAGCATGCTTGTAAAAGCATCAACACCCGAAACTGTGAACTCTTCCACACATCCGATCTGCAGGAGTGGTACCAGCGATGCGTCGTCGAACCCACCCTGGCATCGCTGGAAGAGTTCCAGGAACGCGACAGCGGATGGGCATTGGCGAGAATCATGAATCTGACCGTCAATGTCAATAAGTATAATCCACTCCGCGCGGGGTGTCACTTCAAGTTGCCGCGAGAAATCATGCTGAAGAGGGCAACAATAAGCATACAATCCTCAGACAACACATGTTTCGCGTGGGCAGTTGTCGCAGCTCTACATCCAGCAAAAAATATCCTGAACGTTCAGGTTCATACCCGCAATATACATCGATCCTAAATCTCCAGGGCATTGAGTTCCCAATGTCTCTGGGGTATATTGGGAAGTTTGAACGGCTGAACGACATCTCCGTCAATGTCTACAGCTTCGAGGAGAAGATGAAGAAGGGGCCAACAGTCTTCCCGCTGCACCTCACCAGCCAGAAGAGGGATAGACATGTAAACTTGCTTTACACGCCGAATCAAGAGCACGGCGATGTAGGGCACTTTGCATGCATTAAGGACTTGTCCAGGCTGGTGGGCATGCAGCTGAGCAGGCACAAAGCCAAGAAATTCATCTGCGATCGGTATGTATAAAAAAAAATTTATGAAATGTTTAAAAAATGTTGAAATATATGTGAAATTAAATAAATTTTTTTTGGGGGTTTACAGATGCATGCACTACTTCGGATCTACCGAGAAGTTGGAGGTGCATTCGCTGGACTGCGGGCAGATAAACAACTGCGCCATTCTGCTGCCCAGCGAAGGCGACAATCTGCTCAATTTCAGCAACCACGATAGGAAGGAGCGGCTCCCTTTCGTGGTATATGCAGATCTGGAGTGCATCATCGCAAAAACGTTGGACAACCAAGCGGGTGATAATAAATTACATACATATCAACACCACAATGTACACAGCATTGCATATTATATGCATTGTTCATATGATACATCACTGTCGATGTATCGATGTCGCCGCGACACAGATTGTGTTTCATGGTTCGTCGACGAACTTAAAAATTTTGCAAACTTTGCCAAACCTATTCTTACTGTTGGATTTCCTAACCGTCTTGTTATGTTACAAAAATCATCTCCAGTAACGGATGTATATACTGGAGTTTCCGGTAGTTTTGGCCATGGGTTCTTAGAACTCATGGGTGTTTATTACAGAAAGATAAGAGTTCGTCGCTAGGGCGAACTGCGCTTCACTCTCGCCTTTCTTCTGCGGGTGAAGTCACAGTCTCGCAAAGATCTCAGAGAGAACGGGTCGATACTCTCTTAGGTATACCTTCGATTACTACATAAAGAATAAAGTATAATTTAAAAGTATTTATTGTCATATTTAATTCAACACACGTCCCGAAGCCACTACCATTTCCAATATATCTCTTTCTGATAATTACCAACCATTGATACCAATTACCGACCTAATTACCAACCGTTGATACTAATTACCGACCTAATTACCGCCCCCCCCACAGCGCCCCCACCCCCCCTCCCCCGCACCAACCCTCTGGGGACCATGGCTCAGAACTCCCCTTATACACCTACTACGATACATAAGCCAAATGATGCTTCAACGGTGATTTGGGGAATAATTGCATGGCGTTCATATTTGATGAGATTCGATATGAGCTGAATGGTGTGGAGATTGATCGCAACAGAAACGTTGGAATAACTAGCACGCTTAAAAATTATGTATCACTGACATCCGATGAAGACAAAAATATGGAGAATGCTGGATGGGGCTTGAAACGACACGACGAGCTAGTAGTGAAAAATCATTTCAATTTTTGCGTCCCGCTCAAATATTTGCTGGGATTTTGCGAGGACCACAAACGCATGGTTATTAATGCGCGTCACGAATTGATTTTAATTCGATCGCGCAACGATAACAATTCTCTAATTGGGTCTCCAACGTTGAAACCAGAAAGACGGGAAAAATAAATAAAATTCGAGAAATAATATATGTTTTTAAATGAGACTATATTGATAGAAGAATATAAATAGAAAAAATAATTTAAAAAAATTCCCCCCCTCCACTGCCCTACCGGGATGGCGATGACGATCCCGATGATGACCATGATGGCGATAGCCGTGGTGAGGGTGTGTGGGGGGGTCGATGACGGCGAACGGTGCCGCGGCCGCCGCGCATCTATCCACGGTGGCGATGGTGGCGATGGTGGAGAACGCCGTCGGGGTCGCCGCATGGGCCGCAGTCGCCTAAAAGGCACCCACGGCCCACGTAACCGTGCGGCCATTTCTGGCCCCACTGGTCGTTGTTGTTGTGGCGGTTGTGGTGAGCCCTAGAACATACAATCATTGGGATAATATTAACACATTAAGCATTAATCAATCAAAAAACAATACAAAGTATTACATACCGGCGGCGGCGAGGGCCTTTGGGGCGGCGGCGGCGAGGGAGGCGGCGAGGAGGGTGGCGAGGCAGCCGGTTGGAGCCTCTGCGAATTCTAGAATATAGAAATGATATATTACTTACGATGCGATAATTGTATGAAAATAATATTGTGTACATACCTCAGACCTGCCCCACATATCGAATGCAAATGAGCTCGCTGCATCTCCTGCCTCTTGAACGTAAACCTTTATCTTGAAAGATGCATAGCTTTGCAAAGTAGGATGTCTTTGTTCTTCATGTTCTTCGAAATCTACACCCTCCTTGCACGCCTTTCGCCGAAGTCGTTGCTACGCGAATATGCAATATCGTGTTCGCGACACGCTGCGTCCAACGGATTAAAATATAAAATATAAAATATAAATTAAATCGACGGTCCAGCCTTAGATTTATGCGAGGAGAGAATGTGGAAGACGGGTAAATAAAATTGGAGAAATAATATATGTTTTAAATGAGAATATATTGTTTACAATAGAAGAATATATTGTTTTCTTTCGTGGGGAAAATCTTCGAAAGACTCCCTCCCACCTCTTTGGGGAGAGGCGGGAGGGGTGTGTGGGATTCCCCGCGCCCATTACAACGGGCGCGGGACCTACCCACTAAAAACCCCACGGTGACCCTTCCGCACGATTTGGGAGGATACCGGGAATCGCTCGAAGTATACTTCCGGTATCCTCCCCGTGCCCGCGCTTTGCGCCCACCCCCGGGGGGACAAACGGTCCCCCCGGTAATCGCCCTGTCTCATAGCGGCAGGACGAGGCCACATCGTCCTGCCGCCATCCGTCCCGGGGCCGCGTTCTAGAGGCGGCTGCGAGCCCCAACTCGCAACCGCCGCGACCCCGTTTCCACCCCTCGGAGGCCGGCAGCTAACGGCCGCACCAGGCCACCGAGGGTGCCGCTCCGTGCGCCGGACCCGGACAGGAGGCACTGCCACCCCATCCGGTCCGACCCTGCGCCGCCTGGCGGGAGGGGGCTCCTATCAGGACCCCCCTCCCAGCCTGGGTCATGCGCCACGCCGAGGGGGCCGCCCGCGTCGCCTGACACCCAGGCGACGCTCTCTCGCCACCAAACGAGCGCGAGCCTCAGCACGCCGCTGACGCTCGCGCTCCCTTCCCGCGGTCTCCTTCTGCAACATTACGATTTCGCAGAAGGAGGCCACGGCCCTCCACTTCTCCTCGCTGCCGAGCATGGCGCGCACCATGCCCGGCAGCGAGACATCCCGCCCGATGACGCCGATCAGGACACGGCGTTCACCCTCCCATGCAGCGCATACCTCGAGGGTATGTTCCGCCGTGTCCTGCTCAGCGTCACAATGGCAGCAACGCGCCGTCGGCTCCTTCCCTATCCGGCACAGGTATCTCCCGAAGCTGCCATGCCCCGAGAACACCTGTGCCATCCTGTAAGTGAGGCTTCCATGGCCTCTGTCCAGCCACTCAAGAATCGTAACCCTGCTTTTCTATCCTTCACAAATAGCCGGTACTTGCGGCGCTCTATCTTGCCGATTGCAGCAGGCTTTGCCGCCTCGTCTACTGCTGGCTCGAGTTTCCCGAAATCTTCCAGCTGCAAGGTTGTTTGCATTTCTCTGGCTGGCATCTGTTTCCAAATCTGAAATGATAGTAACAGTATTTTCCATCGGGGTTGAACCTTCTTCTGTTGGTTATTTAAACGCAGTTAAAGGAATATTTATTAAAAGCTCGATATAATATACGCCATAAATACATAACAGATCGTCGGAAATGCGACATGTAACACACACGGTTGAATAAACAGTAGTTACCAACAGTAACAAGAACAGATGAGGATAATGCCTATATGGGTACAAGTAGGCGCCGAAAGACACGTTCTTAAAATGTCCGTGCATCGTCGTGTGAACACACCCAATTGCTCACACTTCCCCTCGAGGTGCGGACAAACCTCGCACCTGTGACGAAATCCTTTTCAACCCTAGCAAACCGATGAACCGCTTGAACTTCGGACCAGACAGCGCCTTCGTCAGGACGTCGGCTACCATGTCGTCCGTTGAAACATGCGAGATCTCGAATTTCTTGTTCTTCAGTGCTTCGCGTACGAAATGGTGCCTGACGTCGATGTGTTTGGTCCGGGAGTGGAACGTCGGGTTTTCTGCCAGTTTCAGAGCACCCATGTTGTCGTTATAAACTCTTATTTCAGCCAGTCTTTCGAACCCGAGCTCGGCCAATAGAGCTCCGAAATATATGGCCTGTTTCGCTACCTCGGCCAATCCCATATATTCGGCCTCGGTTGACGAAAGTGCGACGGTCCTCTGTTTCTTGGAATCCCATGAGACGGCTCCTTCACCTAAAACAAAAGTATGCCCCGTATAGGAACGTCGATCAATCGTACAACTGGCCCAATCTGCGTCCACGTAGCCCGTAAGCGGTTTCTTGGACGGTCCGAAATGAAGGCCCAAGTTCGATGTCCCTTGTAGATAACGCAGTACCCGCTTCGCCGCCATCCAATGCGATTTTCCATACTTGTCATTGAACTGACTCAAGACGCTCACAGCATGTGCGATATCCGGTCTTGTTGCAACGGCCAAGTACATCAGCGATCCGATCAGTTCACGGTATGGGAGAGCCTTCTCCTCTTCATTCGGAGCTTCCTCGATTTCTGTCAATTTGGTGTTGACATCCAACGGTGTACTTACAGGCTTCGATTCGCTCATCCCAAAACGTTCCAGGACTTCGAGCACATAACCCTCTTGACACATACTTATCTGGTTCGATTCTCGCCGGAATTCAATCCCCAGACAGTACTTTGGTTCTCCTAGATCCTTAATACCGAATTGTCTGCTCATATGATGCTTGAACTTCGTTATAAGGTCGGTTCTTCGGGAGAACGTTAAGATGTCATCTACGTACACTGCAATGTACAACGAGTCTCCCCCTTGCTCGAATCGGTATATACAAGGATCTGACTTGGAAGGTCTCGCTCCGAAATTTCTCAGCACATCATCTAGCTTCTTGTGCCAGCTTCTTCCAGCTTGGCGAAGACCATACAGTGACTTTCTCAACTTGCAGACTCTGTCCCCGGTTTGCAAGTCCCTGAGCATGTTCCTCGCCTTGACCTCGACATCGCTTCCCCTGGCTTCTGTATCACTGATTAATTCGAGCGCTTTGGACAGTAAAAGCGGCACTTCCATGAAGATTTCTTCTTCCAGCACTCCATTCAAATAGGCTGTCTCAACATCGAATTGCCTCATCTTCAACCCCTCGCTCGCAGCCAGTGCAACTAGCAGGCGAATCGAGCTCAAGCGAGCAACTGGTGCGAACGTCTGATTAAAATGAATACCTGGGCGCTGGGCGAATCCTCTAGCGACAATTCGTGCCTTTCTTCTTTCGAGTGTACCATCAGAATTGTACTTGTTTCGGAGTACTAAACGAGATCCGATCACTTGTCGGCCCTCAGGGCGTTTTACCAAATCCCAAGTATTGTTTTTTAGGATTGATTTGACTTCGCTCGCTATTGCGCGGTGCCACTCTTCAGCATTCGGGCCTGAAATGGCCTCCCTCATGGGTACCTCTGCTAGCAAGGCGCATTCGGTGTCTGCGTATTGGGTTTCTTCTCGACGGACGTGGAATAACTTCCGAGGTCTTCCCACTCTTCCGGTCCGCAGCAGGGTCGGTCTTCCGGGTCCTCTTTTCGGTGTCGTTCCTATCTCGTTCACACAATCTTCTCCAGTGTCTTCAGGAACTGTCCGAACGGCCGAAACATCGTCCCTTACTGCCCCTAGAGGTACTAATTCGATGTCCAGACCT